GTCCCTACACTTCTATGCTCAAAATTAATGATATTGTGTTTAGAGATATCAGCATATAAATATGCTGACTTAACCTATACTTTGAGATGTAAAACCTGTGGTATTTTAATACTTATCTAACTAGAAAAAAACATTCATTTACTAACCCATCTTGCTTTAAAAATTTAAACCAAGGAGTGAAAGCAGAAACACAATTAGTGGATTTGTAAATGAATTGTTTGTTATTAGCTAGAATTATATTAGGTGAAATTTAAAATTTTATTCAAAAGTAAGACCACTCATGATGGTATTGCATATCATTGCAGCACAATTGAGCTCATCACCCATCTAAGCCAATTTAACTTTTTGTATGGTAGTCTTGACTTCATACTTTATCTGTTTTCCTAATGTTGAATAGTCAAATCAGGGAATCTATCTAGAATACTCTAATTAGCAAATGAGTACTAAACTATTTTTTTCCCTTTTCATTTTCTACCTTCCATACCTGTTGCCAGCTTTCCTTTGTCTGTAATATTCAACTCATATTTTCTGTCTTTATTTTTAAGGACTGCCATCAAGTTTCAGGTGTTGTTTTTTAATCTCTGCTTTTATTTTAAATGCCTTTGTTTAACAACTCCTTGCTTTTTTTTGTCCCTAGCTGTGTGATCTACACCAAAATAATCTCAGATTTTATCTTTATTCAACTATAATGGAAATAATATACCTGTCCTATAACACTCAGCAAGGTCTTATAACAGCCAAATAAGATAATTCATAACCAACTATAAACACTATACAAATGTGTAATATTAGTATTACAGCACAAACTATGTACATGAGATTCCAACCTCTTGCACTTCTTAGTTTTTCCAATTACCATTTCATCAATACCAAATACTTATTGTACAGTCACACAACATTATATGGTTAAGAATGCTATATTTAACAAAGTTGGTAATGTGAAATCTTCCCTTTAAGATCTTACAGCCTTAAACTTCTTTAACAAAACCAAGTTGAAATTTTTAGGAAGTCTTTTCTTGGCTCCTTAAGGAACTAATTCATTCTAGGTTCTGGAATCAAGAAACTAGAGGTAATATTTGAAAATCCAATGCAACAAGATTTTATTATATCTAAACAATACACAAATCAAGTGGTTAATGAAGATCATGAACTTTCCTATATGCTTCTTCTTTTAGTGTTGTCTCAGTTTATTTTAAAATGTAATACTGATCTTGTGATCTAGGTGCATTACAGATTCACGGAATGAGGTAGGTTTCCTCGAACTGGTTACCAACTTTCACCTTGGTAGTGGCTGCTGTGGGGATTAGTATCACAAAAACAGATTTAGATGGGAGATAAGATGCTGAAAGAAGAAGAAAGATGTAACATACAATAGAATGAGGGGTATTGGGCATTAGTCAGTAGGCAGAACAATGGGATTTTGATATGCCTTTCCATCCACTTGTCTTTTTTCTTGGTGCATTATTTTTAATGGTTTTTAACTCTCCATTAGTGCCACATCCCACTTTATGATTTGTTCATGGACTATGTAGGGAGTCTGCAGTTTTGTCTTTCAAAATGTTTGCCCTTTCTGCCCAGTGGTTTATTGCATTACCGCCATCATTCTCGGGCTTCAATAAGGGAATGGCATCTGTCTTCTCAATCTTAAAAAGGGCAACTTAACAAGTGCGTTCAGCAAAGCTGTATCTTTCCATCTCCTAGGAATCACCACGGTGCTGACAATGACAACCATCAGCACTCACCTCAGGGAGACCCTGCCAAAGATCCCGTATGTCAAAGCAATTGATATTTACCTGATGGGTTGCTTTGTGTTTGTGTTCCTGGCTCTGCTGGAATACGCCTTTGTAAATTACATCTTCTTCGGAAAAGGCCCCCGGAAAAAGGGAGCTGGCAAACAAAACCAGAGTGCCAATGATAAGAACAAACTGGAGATGAATAAAGTCCAGGTAATGTATTAAATATTCCTAAGCCTTAACTGGTTTGGCTCAGTGGATAGAGCGTCCAGCCTACAGGTTGAAGGGTCCTGCATTCAATTCTGGTAAAGGGCATGCACCTTGGTTGCAGGAACCATCCATCCCTGCCTCTGTCTGTTGGAGTGTGTGCAGGAGGCAGCCAGTCCATGTGTCTCTCTCACATCGATGTTTCTCTCTGTGTGTCTTTCTTTCTCCCTTCCACTCTCTCAGAAATTCAGTGGAAAAAATATCCTTCGGTGAGGATTAATATTCTTGACAATATTCTGAAATTTAGCAGCAGCATGGCGCTCAAGGCTCCCACAACAGGGGGGAAAAATGTTAGTTTGTCTTTAATAAGGCTCAAATACTCCTTCATTTTACGTATTTGAGAGCTGAGGATGGAAGAAGTTAGATTGATGTTTACATATATAAATATTACACCTGGACCTAAAATTCAACCTCAAGTTCATTATTCTTTATTCTAAACTACATAGTTGTAAAACTATATGCAAAAGAATAATTCCAGGTCTGCTTGTTAAATAAATGAGAACTAAAGTGAATAAGCACTGTACTCTGGAAGTGGAAATGAGACAATAGAGCACAGATTGGAATAAAATTGCTTGTATTAGATTCCCAGCTCTGCCAGTCACTGGCTTTATAACTTCAGGCCAATCAACCTATGTAACTCCTCATCTAATGTCAGTTCTAAATATCATCATCCATAAATGGAGATGATTATGGCATACCTATATCAGACTTGTTATAAGAACTAAATGAGGTGTTTTTTTAAGTTCATTATGTAAAACAAATCCTAGAGCATAGTAAGTACTCAGTAAGTATTAGCTATTATCATTATATACAAGATATTGTCACTCTTTTTCTTTTTGCTGTTTATTAGCCAATCTTATGACTTATGCTCCCAGTGGGTGGAATTAAATTAAAATTAATGCACTGTTTATTCTTTTAAAACATCTCTGTAGTCTCTTCTTCTGTGCCATTTTTACTGGAATTCAGTTTAAAATTATGTACTTTGAAATACTGTATTCACTACAAATTGTTTTCAAGACGGCACACAGGGTGACAACTCAAATATCCGTTCATTTAACCAGTGTTCTGAGCACTGCTCTGAATGGGACAAAATTCCTTGCCCTCGTGGAGTTTAGAGTCTAGCGTGGGGAGACAGGCAATATACACACAAATCAGCACTAAGAGGATAATTTCAGGTACAGGTATGTGCTATGAAGAAAGTAAAGACAGTAATGGGGATGAGCATGGTTTGGTTCAGGTTGAGGCAACAGGGGACTTTAATCAGGTGACCAGGAAGTCATCTTTGAGGAATTATCATTTGATCTGAGACCTAAGAGATAAGAAGCAACAGCCACACCCTGTCCCATGTAGGCAAAGGAAATAAGTACTGAGGCTCTGAGTCAGGAATTGCTAGATGTTGTAAAGTACTGAGAGAAAACCAATGTTGTAAGAGCACAGTGAGAGAGAAAATAGACTATGAAATGTGGCTGGAGAATCAGGCAGAAGCCAGATTATGAGTCTTCAAGGTGTATCTTCATGCTCTTTCATAGGATCTCAAATTTGGACAAGCACTGCCAGATAATTAGAAAGTTATAAGCAAAGGAAACATGCAGACTCAGCCACATGGTCAAAATTCCAACCAATGCATTCAAATAAATTTTTATCCTTGTGTGAAACACTAAACTGGATGCTAACAGTGAAGGAATAGGCATGATACTTGCCCTCAAGAATCCTCTAATCTTGCTGGGAAAGAAAAGTATACTCCTATGAGGTGATGGGATTATAAAATGAGGCTGGATGACATTTATTTTGAGGAATATATCTGAAAGGAAGAAGCTTCCCACTGTCTGATTGCAGCCCTAATAGCTATAGAAGTATTTTAGCTGTAGTTTTCAAGGCCACCTCTTTTCTATTCCCATCCCCATCTCAGTTGCCTCGTAACTCTATTAGCTAGTACTCTGTATAGCTTGGAATGTCTGTTAACTGATACAACATAAAGAAATGCCTTACATAAAGTGGCAGAGTAGAACTGGTAGGAAAATTCAGAATATATGAACTGGGTAGGCACTAGAACTGTGAAGGTACAAAGGATAAAATGCCCTTTCAATTGGCTAGAAAAGCAATGTTCTATAGAGAGTAATTAAATGGAAAGGTCAAGCAAACTGAAATCTATTTATTTCAATAAAATAAAAAGATTATAAAACAAATTTTAACCAGTTTTGTGGAGCATTTGCCATGATTCCAGACCAGGATATGAGAATTTTCTAAGGTGCTAAGGGAAAAATAAAGACAGGAAAAAAACTTAATATATCATATCATATCTAGATGTATACAGGTAATATATATTGCTCTGAAGAGAACTTACTGACTGGCTAATAAATAATTTAAATGTTCCCATCCAGCTAAGCTGGCTGGGTCAGTTGGTTGGAGCATCCTCCTATACACCAAAAAGGTTGTGGGATCAATTCTTGGTCAGGGCACATTTCTAGGTTGCAGATTCGATCCTTAGTCAGGATATGTATGGGAGGCAAATAATTGATGTGTATTCTCACAGCAATGTTTCTCTCTCTCTCTCTCTTTCTCTCCCTCTCCCTCCCACTCTCTCTCCTTTCCTCCCTCTCTAGTATAATATATATATAATATAAAAATATAATATATATAATATAAAAATAATGAACAATTGATACATGCATCAACTTGGATAGCTCTCAAGGGGATTATGCTGAGTATTAAAAGATTACATATTGTATGGTTCTATTTATCTAACACTCCTGAAATAAAATTATAAAGATGGAGAACAGATTAGTGGTTGCCAGGAGTTAGTGATGGGGAGAAACTGGGTGAAGGCCACATGGAACCTCTCTGCTATTTTTTAAACTTTTCAGGAATCTACAATATTTGTTTAATGCTCAAAATAAAGACCAAAGGAAAAGATTAATAAAAATACATGAAGAGATGGCGAGTCTCAGGAGAAAAATAAAAGAAACTATAACAAAGAACCAATGGAAATTATAGAATTGAAAAAGAATTAGACGGATTAGTACCAGATTGTATACAGCAGAAGAAAGAATTAGTAAAACTGAAGACAATATTGGCCTTCTCTCAACTTTCCCAATGTACCAGTTCTTTCCATAAATGCTACTAACTCAAGGGATGCCTTAACTGACAACCTTCCGTTAGTTTGCAGTTGGTACCCTTATTATTTATCCTCATGACTTCCTGTGTTCTTCCTCCATGGGACTTATCACAGTTATCTAAATAATAAAAGCCTAAACAACCATTATGGCAGAACAACCAGAATGATCAGTCGCTATAATGCACACTAATCACCAGGGGGCAGACGCTCAACACAGGAGCTTCCCCCTGGTGGTCAGTGCCCTTCCACAGGGAGAGCGCCACTCAGCCAGAAGCCAGGCTCGGGCTCACTGTTGGCAAGTGCAGCGACGGTGGCAGGAGCCTCTCCCGCCTCCACAACAGTGCTAAGGAGCAGAGAGCTGAGCAGTAAGGAACAGTGAGCAGGTGGGCTGTAAGGAGCGAGGGGTCTCAGACTGCAAGAGAGTGCAGGCGGGGCTGAGACCCCCCTCCACCACCAGTGCACGAATTTCATGTACCCGACCTCTATTGAGTATATATTTATCTGTGTAGTTATCTTTCAATGCCTAACTCATTATTAGAGTACTAGAGGCCTGTTGCATGAAATTCGCACATGGGGGCAGGGGAGGGTATCCCTCAGCCTGGCCTGCGCCCTCTCACAATCTAGGACCCCTCAGGTAGGGTCCCTAGGCCTGGCAGGCAATCAGGGACTATTGGGGCTTTTCTTCCCCCATCTGCCCGCAGCTGGCTCCGCCCCGGCTGCTGCCACTGCTTCCCATCTGTGCAGCGCTGCCTCCCCTCCCCTGCCACTGGTCACCTCCCTCTGTGGACAACAGCCTTGGGGTGCAATCACTTGACTGGCCTGGGCCTCCCTCTGCGGGGCAATTGTGGGGCGATGACAGGAACCCCCAACCAATCACATCACACCCGCTTTGGCTGGCCTGGCACCAGTGCATATCATAGCGTGTTCGTCCAGAAGGTCATCCGGATGGTCATTCTGCTGTTCAATCATTCGGCCAATTTGCATATTACACTTTTATTATGATAGACTAGGGGCCCGGTGCACGAAATTCGTGTACTGGGGGGGCGTGTCCCTCAGCCCAGCCTGCCCCCTCTCACATACTGGGAGCCCTCAGGCATTGACCCCCATCACCCTCCAATCGCAGGATTGGCCCCTTGCCCAGGCCTGACGCCTCTGACAGAGGCGTCAGACCTGGGCAGGGGACCCTCATTTCCCCCCATCACTGGTTCTGCTCCCAGCCCAAGCCTGAGCAGAAGCAC